TGGGCTGTGAAGGGCTTGTCTGTGGTGTGGGCAGGTAATTCCCTGTGCTATCTCAGCTTGGAGCACTTGCATATTATTCCTCTTTAATTGCTGTTGACCATTAACTCTGAAATGCCTTTGTGTCTCTTGTTTGGTTTTAACTTGCAACTGGCCGATAATCTGTGAGCAGCTTAAACAATGATGTGAATTCTCCACCCTCCAAATCCTAGGTCAAAAGAGGTTTCTGGAGCCAAACTGAAGTGGGTTTCATTTAGGAGTTGTTCTTTCTTTTCTATTCAAAATAGAGGAACCTCATCTATCTGTACATGACATCCCACCTTTCTTCCTTCCTCTCCCTGTCACAGGCTGTCCTAGGCTCGGGGAGCATCCAGCAGCACACAGGAGGTGGTGCTGCAGCACAGGGAAAAGCACGTGGCTCTGTGTGCGGTCTTATCTCTGCATCCAGAGCTCCTTGTTCTCTTCCTGAGTCCCCAGGCTGGGGATCTTCATTCTTGCCAACTGAAAAAACAAGACACTTTGAGGAAATTCCAGTAGTCCTGAGCCCAAGCTCCCACTGCTCATGGCTGTAGGAGCTGGAGCCCCGAGGCGGTGCTGGCAGGGTTGACATTTCAGGAGGATTCCTGATGACATCATAACGGCTTTGGTGCCCACTGCTAGTGCTTCTCCTGTACTAACAGTTGGAGGAGGATCGTTTAAGTGCAGTCTTTCATTGTTCAGCTTTTAAAAAAGGAAATTAAATGGGGACGAGACTTTGTCAGAGCAGTAGAGGTCTGACCTAACCCCTTGCAGCATGAAAGAGCCACCCTGAGTCTGGTCTTGCTGTACTACTGCACTGCAGGACTCTGAGCTCCACTTGTGTGACTGTGCACACAAATCCCTCAGCACAGAGGGTTTGGAGGAGGACCTGGCACTGCCTCCCCACGTTCTGGCTTTCGTGGGCTTTGGTTGTACCTTTGTGGGTTGCTGACACTAACGGCAATGCCTACCTAAAGTGCATGTGGCTAGAGGAGAGCCCAGCCCCAAGTGTGATCCAACCTAGCTTTTCCTCTTTAATTTCCTTTTTTCTTTCCCTAGCCTAGCTTGTGTGGGACACTGGAGCCGTTATGGTGTCAGCAGAGGTGTTTGCCCTTTAAAGACACCCCATTATTTTGGGCGGAGCGGCCCCGCACGGCGCGTCTGAAGGGCAGGACGGCTGACCCGAGGACGACATCCTCTGCCCCTTAGGAGGTACTGACCTTTTGTGCTTCACTACTTGCCATGACCAAACAGGTTGCTAGACCAGGCTGCCTCTGTAGGTGAACTACAAATGCCACTGGTGGAGTTAAACTCAGCAGCATCTGCTGTTCATCTGAGTTAAAAGATCTGGAGAGTGTTTTTATTGGAAAAATACTTGAGGGCTGCTTCCTCTCAGGTGGAGGTTATTCTGTGCATGTTTCTGAGCTTTACTCCACAGAGCTTTGTTGTTCACTTCATGAGGATTGTGGAGAAAAAAGGTCTTTTAAGGACTTGTTTATGAATGTGACTCAGAGTTGAAGTAGAGGGTCTTGTATCCCCCTTGGTCTCTTCAGTGCCCCTGTGGTGGAGGGCTGGCTCTGGCTTCGTTTTATTAGGATCACTCCATCCTGGAATGAAGTTAAATGTGTGCTTTGCCCTGCAACCCAGTCAGGCCTTCTCTCTTCAGGAGAGACTGTGTATGGATCACAGGCAGTTCTCTTTACCCACATTATTCCTCCTTTACCTGCTGACACTGATGAAAGATAAGACCAGCTGTGGTGGGCTGGCATCTGTGGTGTGGAAAAGCTTTGTGGGATGGCTGGACTGATTTGCCAGGTTCTTTCCTTGGCTGTTGAAGGCTGGTTGCTTGTACTGTGACTGGTAGGCAGGGATTTCTCCCCTACAGTTTTTCTGAGTCTCCTGCTCTAGAACAAGCTCCTGGGCTGGAGCCTGTGGCCCACACAGTGATAACCAAGTGAAATTGGAGCAGTCCTGATGTATGTCTGCATGAGAGGGCAATGCTGGTGACTTCTGAGGCTGGTTGAGGCTGGTTTCTCATTTTCTTTCGAAAAGAGACAGAAGGTCAGACTGTGCTGTCCTGGCAGTGGTTTTGGACTCAAAATGATGACAGTCAGTGCTGGTAATGGCAAGGTCAAGGTCTCCATTTGACACCACAATGGCTTAGGAACTTCTTCATCCATCACCTCATAGCTCATGTGGTGGTCTTTGTATTTCCCTCTGGATCCTTTCCTTCTCAATCCTTATTCTGTTCTCTGTTGTTCCTCGCTTTAACCTTGTTTGGAACCCAGTTTAATGGGAGTTGCTTGTGGGTAGAGGGAATGGGTGAACCTGTACCACTCACACCTGCCCTAGGAAAGGGGTAAATGGCACATCAGGATTTTGCTGTTTGGCACATCAGTGACTACACGTTGCATGAGGAGTTGGCCAGCTTGAAACTGGGAGATATCTACACTGCTGAGAGGGTTCTTTGAACATAATCAATTTGAATAAGTGGCTCCTAATTGCTCCTATGTAATTGTGTTTTCAATTGGAAGCCTTTATTATCTGTTAAAAGTTATTTAAAGTGGTGTTTCTAAGGGTTTCATAATTTTGTGTTTCTTTTTTCCACCTCAGTGTCTGCTTTTCTGGTGCAAAAAGATTGTAGGGAACAGACAAGAAGCAATGTGGGAATTCAACTTCAAGTTCAAAAAGCAGGTATGAAAGAACCAGATCAGCTGTGACTTTTGTTTGAAGTAGAAATTATTTTTCTGGGGAGTAGAAGGGAAGTGGATACTTTTTGTCCATTCAGAGATAAATACAAACAGATTTCCATGGTAAACTAAAGCACGTTGTAGAACTACACTCAGTTTTCAGTCTGTGTTACCAAGACATTTAGAATCCCACATTTTTATTTCCTCCTTCAGTATCCTTTCCCTGCTATAAGATGTGGATCATCACTACTGATTGTTACCAAAAACCAGACTGTCTGACTGTAGTGGTCAAAATGTTGACCAAAATCTGAAACTTCTTGTTATGCCATTGCCAAGATTTCTCAGGGAAGTGAAGACAGCCAGCACTGCCAGGGAAAGCCTCCAGTCGTGGGTGTTGGGAGAAGCCAGTAATTTCAGGCAACCTTGGGAATTGTGCAGCTTTCCCCTCTAAAGAAATGGGTCTGAAAATTGTCCATCCAGAGTGATGGCATTTTATTGTTATTGTGACACTTTGCCCAAATACCTGGGGAGGAGGAGAGACCCTGCCAGGCCACACTGGGGAGGAGCAGCCAAGCCCAGCAGAGGTTCCTGCTTTGCTAAATCGGCCTCTCTTTCTTTCAAGTCTCCCAGATTGAAGAGCAAGTGTTGCAAAGGTCTCCAGCCCCCAATCCAGTATGAGGAAGTGCACACAAACCCAGATCAGGATTGCTGCCTGCTGCAGATCACCACCTTCAACTTCATCTTCGTGCCAATTGTCATGGGCATGACCTTCACCTTGGTGAGTGGGAGAAAGCTGCCAGGCTTTGCAGATGAGGTTCCTGTAAGGACATGAGAGGGCACCTGGAATCTCCTGTGTTGGAAGGGACCCACAGGGTCCCCTATTCCTGGCCCTGCACAGGACAACCCCAAGAATCCCACCCAGTACCTATTTTGGGCTGTATAAATCCTAGTGTTCTATCAGCAGACCATTTCTGGGAATCATATGGTTAATGAAGAGAGGAAGTGCTCAGAATCTCAGTTTAACTTCTCCATTTCCCCTGTTTGGTGCAGTGAATAGAGAGGATGTAGAGAATGTGCCAGGAGCTGTGGTTAGGCAGTGTCTGGCCGCAGGTCAGTTACCAGAACTGCAGCAGATTCAGGAGACAGGGAGCAGTAGAAGTGGAGGTGTGCCCCTCACAGGAATATCTCTTTATGGCAGTAAATTCTGAGAGGAAAATCCCACATGAGCAAACTCTTTGATTGTGTGTTTGGTCCCTGATTGGGATTCAGGGTTTCAGAAGTGGCCAGTGCTCAGGAGAGGTTCAGTCTGGCCTCACTTAGGAGTTGGGCAGTGAGTTCCAGACTTCTCCTGACAGCCATGTGTTTCCAGGTTCACTTAGAATCAGAGTCATAAAATTACTTAGATTAGAAAAGACCTTTAAGATCAGTCCCAGCACTGTCATGTTCACCCCTAACCCATGTCTCAAGTGCCACATCCACAGGCCTTTTGAACACTGCAAGGGATGGTGACACCACCACTGCCCAGGCAGTTCCAGTGTTCTTTTACAACCCTTCCAGTTTTTTCCAGCATGATTATTTGGGGCTGCCAGCCAGCTAGCTGGTTTGGATGAGAATGAGAATGTGACTGTGAAACACCTTGTACCATTCAGAGGAATTTATAAAGTCTAGAAGTGTGGTGTTGAGAGCTCTCTTGTCACTGTGACTCTCTGAAGCAGCTCTGGTCTCCTCTCTTGCAGTTCTCCATCTCGGTGAGCACGGACATGCGGCACCACCGCGTGCGCCTGGTGTTCCAGGACACGCCCGTGCGCAACGGGAAGAAGCCGCGCATGGAGCAGGGGGTGCAGGTGGTACTGGACCCTGTGCACAGTGTCAGGCTCCTGGACTGGTGGCACCCACAGTACCCCTTCTCCCCAAAGGCTTAGTGCTCTCCTGAGGCTGCAGGAGCCCACAGGGGACTGAATCTGGCAGGCTGAAGAGAATTTCTAGGAACCAGGAAATCCTATTTTTATTTCTGAAATAAATTCTGCAGTCTCCTTGCAAGTGGTTGAAGCTGCTGAGCTAGTTTGTATGTATATAACTTCTGGTCAGTAATGAGCAGAGCTGAGTGTAAAGCAGAAACTATTTGTAAACACACTTTTATGTAAAATTGACATTTTATGATTTGAAAGGAGCTCCCTGGAACTGTTCATTTAAAATCCTTTTGGTGCTAATCAAAGTGGTCTTGTGTTCTGTTGTTCGGGAAAAAGTAGGAGGTTTTGCTTTCCAAGAACTTTCCTTTTTGCTTTCCAGGAACAATCAACAAACAAAATTATGTTTGTTTTACTGCAGCAGGATTGTGTTTATGCACAGTGTGATATTTCAGTGTCTGAGAAGCAGTGAGCAAGACAGCAGTGATCAACAATAATCTTAATTCCCAGCCCAGCAGATACCAGTTAAGGAAAGAAAAAGGTGTAAATGATCAAACAAAGGAATTACTTGAAAGAGGACTTGTAAGGCAAAAGTATGTAAAGGTACTTAAGTTCTCACACTGGTGTTTTTCTTTGAAAAGAAGATCTAAACTTTTAAACCAGAAGGTGCTTTTCAGAGAACATAAACAGGGAGGGAGAGGAGGGGACAAACTAAAATAACTGAAGCAGTGATGAAGTGATGAAGGACTCGACTCTGTCTTTTCAAAGAGCAGTGCGGAAATCGTTTCTGTTGAAAGCCCCCAAGCAACCACTGATCTGGCTTTTGACTAAGTAAATTGATTTCTGTGAGGAAGAAGCAATCATGAAACTTCCTGTGGCTCTGGGCTGACTGAGAAGTGAAAGGTGCAGGGGCTGGGCCTGTCAGAAGTGTGGTCTGACCAGAAGGAACCTGGCTGGAGGTTTAATTGAACACGTGGCTTCCTGGGGAGGTGCAGAGGAGGTGCTACAGGGCAGGGGAAAAGCTGTGCAGATGCAGACCCTGGACTGAGCTTTGCTGCTTATCAGATATCAGCTCCTCAGTCCTACTGCACACATCTGGTCCCTAGCAGGAGGAACAGTACTTGTCCATGTAGAATGTTCAGTGAAGCTCCTGAAGGAGAGGGAGTTCTGCCATCTCGGTTTGGACTCGGTGGTCTTTGAGCCCTTCCAGCTCAGAATATCCAGTGGTTCTGTGACCCCACATGACCCTGGTGTAGCTGCCCAGAAGGAGTTTCTTGCCACTCTGTAAATCACCACTAAGGACATCTGACCCGACCTTGGATCTCTGCTGTGTGGGAACTCAGCACATCCCTCTGGATGTCCAGAGTTGGAGACTCTTCATGTTGACTTCAAACACATTTGGGACAGCTTCTGCCTCACAGTTCCCCTTTCCACCACTGCTGAACTGTTGATGCCACAGGTAAGTTTTGAAGTTAAGTTGGTTTATTAGAGATAAAAGGCAAGAAAAATGTGCTGTCCCTGTGCACCTGGGGCTGCCATGACAGCAGAGCCTGGGCTGTGTCGTGCTTGTGCAGGAGAGGCAGGACAGGGTTGGGGCTGGAGCTGTGTCTAAGGGCTGCAGGGGCTCTGTCCCCAGGGAAGCTGCTCCAGGGCAGTGGGGGACAACAGTCTGCCTTTTGCTGTGGGGTTAAACACCGCTGAACTCGGGAACAGGTGGTGAGCTCAGGCAGTAAAACGTGGTCAGGCTGCACTTTGTGGTTGTCTTGGAGGGAGGTGGCTGCTTACTCAGAGCCTGGTTCTGGCTGTGCTTCAGGCTGTTTCCTGCTACGTTCCCTGAAAACTCCCTCGTGATGATGCCATGGTCATGTGCCTGGTGATTGCTATTGATGCAGGGTCTGGAGGGTGGGAGCAGAGTTGGTTCCTGGCTCAGGCTGATGGCAGGAGCACGGAGCAGGCTGGTGTCTGTGGGGGGCTGCTCGGGCTGAGTGATGCTGGGAGCGGCAGCCTGGGCCCTGCTCTGGCTCCTGTGCAGAGCTACAGAACAGCTCCTAGGGCTGTGTGTTCCTGCCATCTGGCAGAGCAGGAACACCTTCTGATCAGGCATATGGCAAATCCGGGGGGCAAAGGTGCTTGGCAGCTCCAGAATTCCCTGGCTGATCCTGGGCCGTGCAGCCAGAGCGGGCGGCACAGGCTGTGACAGCAGGAAGCAGGTGAATGGGATGTTTCCTGCTACCAACAGACTTGCTGGATTCAAATATGGATATTTAGATACAGATGCCCCTAAGCCAGAGGTGCCCCTCCCAGGCCAGGCTTTTGGTAGGCTGAAATGTATAAAATGTACAAGAACAATTCTCAGTCTTTCCCTTTACAAAGCTCCTGGTGATCTGGTGCTGGAGCTGTGCTGATCAGCAGTGCTGGCAGGGATTGGGAACCTGTTCTGATCCACGTTGGGAGGATGGGGAGTGGCAGGGGTGCTGTGGAAGGGGGATTCTGCCTCTGTGTAGAGCTGCAGGTACAGGTGTTCCCCTTGGTCCCTACCCAGAGCATCAGATCCTGAATCCTGGGCTGAGGTTTGCTCAGTGAGGAAGTGACACCAAAGCTCAGCCCCGAGCAGGAGATTTCCACCCTGGCCCCTGAGCCCAGCCTCTCTTGAAGCTTCATTGCCAGAAAAGTCCTCTTCAGTGTCCTCCAGTATGGGATGCAGTGAGTCCACGGCAGGAGTGGCTGTGGTTTGGTGTCACCCATTTCTGTAGGACACAGCTCAGAGGGGTCCTCAGTGATGTGGAAATGGAACCCCAGATCAGCATCATGGTGGCTCTCCCTGTGCTCTCCCTGCTGTGTGAGGCCCCATTCTACCTTTGCTTTGTCCTGCTCCTGAATAATGCAAGGGCTGTAAACAGATCCTGCCTGGCTCTCTGGTTTCCTAGGGGAGACAGGAAGACTTGGCCACCATCCTCACCCTGCTCCTGTCCTTGTCAGGATCCGGTGTCCAACAGGAGCTGAGCTCGGTAAGGCGAGGCCTGGGGGCTTGGGGAAGGGGCTAGGCCCTGCTTTGGATTCCCTTGTGCCTGTCCCATCCCAGTCCCTCTGCTCTGGCCTCAACTGGGAGAACTGGTCCTCCCTGGCCCTCTGAGCTGGGTGTGCCTGTGCAGCCACAGGGCCCTCTCAGAGCAGCCTTTGCACCTGAGGCTTCTCTTTCTTCTTCAGCTTATTCTAAAGCAAGCAAAAATGTGCCTTTTAGCCTCATTTCAGCCACCTCCCTGTTCCCTCTGGTCAAATATTTTGGTGAGCAGAGCATGTTTGGGCTTGGGGCCAGAGGGAGGTTTGAGAGCAGCCTTTGGTGCCAGGCTTTGGTTGGTTCCTGGGCACTAGGGCTATGCTGTGGCCCTCACAGGGTGGCAGGTGGAGGGACCCTTTTTCGGCACCCAAAAACCATTTGGGACCTGCTCCATAGCACAAAGGGGGGGACTGGATGAACTGGCCAAGGCTGGGCTTGTGGGACTTGCTTTGAGGGCAAGAGGACCCAGGATGTTTGTCTGGGCACCAGGAGCTGTTTCCTAGCTGGATTCCCTTCCTGCTCCAGGCCTGCTCGTGGATGTCCCTGGGGAGGGTCAAATCCTGCCCTAGCACTGCACCCTGAAGCAGCCTGTGAGGACCAATGGGGAATTTGGTGGTTCTCTGGCTCCCCTTGGCAGTGCTGGCTATTGGCAGGGCTCTGCACACCGAGCATTGGGGACCCAGGGCTGTGCTGGGTGTCACAGCCCTCCCCCTCTTCCTTTCTGCGGGGACAGGAAGGACCAGATTTCCTTCCTGTGCAGGGGTGGGGGTCAGGGGCAGCTTTGGTGAGAAAAGCCCTCCCCCTCCTGCAGCTGCTGCAAGCCCCACAGTCCTTCCCACCCTGGGCCACTGAGCAGCAAAGTTCTGCTGGGCTGCACCATCCCAGCTGCCTTGGCCCTCCTGGAGTCCTCCAGCCCCTGCCCAGGTGGGAATCCCAGACTGCCTTTGCTCCAGAGCAGGTGGGGTGTCCCCACTGAGCCCCTGGGACCCCACTGGGACAGAGCCACTGCCACTCCACCAGAGGAATGTAAGGATTTAAACCCAAATGATGGAGGAAAAGCAAAAACCAGCGGATCCGGGAGCCCGGGGACGTCTCTTCTGCCTTCCCAGCACCATCACCTGCTTCCTGCTCTACCTTCTCTCTCTCACAGAGGAGTTCCAAGCTCCACGTGCTCCCACGGGAGCAGCTGGGGCTGGAAGTTGTCATGGGGAATTTGTAGAAGATGGAGCCTGGCAAGAGATGTGAGGTCTCCTCCCTGAAGGTAGGAGAGGCCCAGGCCAGCAAGGAGAGAAGGGAAGTGGGATCCACACTTTGTGTGAATAAATAGGGGGAAGGGAAGGGAAGGGAAGGGAAGGGAAGGGAAGGGAAGGGAAGGGAAGGGAAGGGAAGGGAAGGGAAGGGAAGGGAAGGGAAGGGAAGGGAAGGGAAGGGAAGGGAAGGGAAGGGAAGGGAAGAGGTTTCCTCTCCATGGGGCTGCTGTGGGAAGGAGCTGATCTGGTTGGGAGCTGGGGACAAGTGATGCCATTGATGACTTGTGGATGCTCCAGAGCCATGTTCCTGCTCTGGGTCTAGAGGAGGGAAGCAGTGGGAGAAAAAGCTTGGAGGGTGGAGGAGTTGGCAACAAACCGGGCCCTGGAAGGGCCCTATGTGGCCCACATTGGTTCACTGAGATGAAGGGGCTTCAGAAGGGGCTTCATTCCCAGCCCAATGCTCCAGTGAGGAGCTGCAGTGTGTGGGGAAGCTGTGGTGTCCTGGGGCTACATCCCGGGTGGGATCCAGGTTCTGCCCTGCCCCAGGGTGCCAGGCATGCAGTTCTGGCTCTGCAGCCCCAGAGGTTTTTGCCACCTCAGCACAAGAGCTGGAAAAGAAATGGGCAAAAAGCTGTGCCAGCTCCGTGTCACCAGCTCCTGGCTCGGTGAAGTGTCAGGTTCGTGCCAGAGTTTGGGACTCTGCGGCTTGGCAAGAGCCCCCAGCGGGGGTTGCTGCTGCCCGGGGGACTGGAGCTGCCTGCGAGGATGGAGTCGGTGGGGCACAGCTGATGCCATCCTGGGCTGCCGGTCGGTGGGGCTGTCGCAGGTCCCACGGCGGGCTGGGGGCCCTGGCCCGTCCCACGTGGGTCCCCGCCGACCTGGCCGGTTCTCCGAAGCTCCTGGGACTGAGGGCGCCGGCGGACGCTCCTCCTCTGCGGGAGGCAGGCAAGGACTCGGGGTGGGGCTTTGCCGAGCGAGAATCCTGAGTCCGGCCAGCCCGGGGAAGTTGCCAGGACCGAGCACCCCGGAGAGGCGAGGCTGCCGCCCACCCGTGAGTCTCTGCCCTCGGCGGGTGCGTGCAGAGCGGGGCTGGCCAGGAGCCATCTCCTGCTGCCGTGGGAGCGGGTGTGAGGGCAGGGGGCTGGGCTGGGGACAGGATCGGTGTAAGAGTCCCTCCCTGCAGGGACCTCCCTGTGCTGTGGGACACCTGAGCTGACTGAAAGCTTTGTCCTCCGGAGCCGTGTGCTGCTAGAACAGGGCATTTCCCCCCCTTTGTCCCCGTGGGACAACCCGTGGAGCAGAGACACTCAGGTACAGTGGGGCCAGAGCCTGGCCTGACTCCCAGGAGCCCCCATCCCCCACAGCCCGAATGGCCACAATTTGCCCATGGGGGACGTTGTGCTGCCACAATTTGCAGTGTCCCCCACCCATTTCTGGTGCTGGGTTCCATCCCAGCCCTTTCCACCCCGGGGACCCTCAGGGCGGGGCACTGAGCTGTGCTGCAGGAGAGCTGGTGTTTACCCTGCTGGGTGACACAGCCTTTGTCTGCGCCTCAGTTTCCCCCAGCATGGAAAGGCACTCCTGGCAGTGGGAAGGGAGCCCTGGCTGTTCCCTTCTTGTGCAACCAGCCCTGCTCTCCCCAGTGCCGGCGGAAGCAGCTGGAGCTGCCTGCACACCGGGAGCTTCCTTGGAGCCCCGTGGGACTGAGGCTGGGAATGGACTGTTCCTTCCCCTGCCCTGCACTGAGGCTGGGGAGGAGTTTGGCTCCAAGCAAGTGGCTCTCAGCTCCTCCTGGCCAATGTCCCTACAGCAGGGTGGCTTTTGGGGACATCTGCAGTGGGGTGCTGGGCTGTGGGGAAGGTGCATGAGGTGCTTGGAGCAAGTGTGGGGACAGGGATACTCTCTGGAGGCACTTTGAGCTGGAGCAGGAGGATGCTGCACCCCTGGTTGTGCCCACTTACCTGGGCTGCTTTGTTCCTCCATGGAGGCAGGAATCCAAAGCCCAGTACAGTTAGGGAGCTAATTATGGGGCTGCACTCGTTACCTTCTGTTCTGTTCTGTGCTGGTAACCCCTGTTCCCCATGGTCTGCCTGCTCCTTGGGTGAAGCTGCTCCTGTGAGTGCTGGGAGTGCTCAGCAGCATCTTGTTTTCCATGCAGGATGGGCCGTTGGCAGCCAGACATTCCCCAGCAGCCAGGAAAACCTTTGGCCACCCAGAGTGGCCAGATGCCCAGCCTGGCATGTGGCCAGGCCTCGCCCTTGGTGACCCTTCCCAGCTCACCCCGTGGCCCTGGTTGTAGATCCCAGAGGTGCAGGCTTGGAAATCCACGTTCAGGGTGGCACCAGGGTGTGATGTCCCTGTGGCTCGGACAGATCCCTAATGCTGCTCCCCCCTGAGCTGGTGAGGTCCCCCATGTCTCCAGAGCTGTAAGGGACGGAGAGGCCACACTCTCTGCTGGGACCTGGACAGAGAGATTAAGCAGCTGCAGGAGCTGGTTGTCTCTGCTGCGGGTCAGCCCTGCCCTGCCCTGCCGGGCAGCGCGGCTCTGGCTCCGTGTTTATCTCCGAGGGAGCAGCCGTGTCCCTGGGCGGGGTCAGCGCTCCAAGGGCGAAGCGCCTGCGGATCGGATCGGGGCACCTGCACGGCACCAGCCTCTTGGGGAGCTCACAACCCCTCCAGAGGACTCCTGGGTGCAAACATGAGGGTTCTCCTTAAAATAAGCCCAGCACACGCTTCAGGGCAGCGGCCCCAGAGGTGCTGAGCTCCAATCTGTGGGGCCTGTGGGTGGGCTCAGGGCACAGCGGTGCTGCTCAGCTGCACAGCGGTGGTTGGGGCAGGAAAGTGTTCAGAGCGCCGTCCTAGGAAGCCCAGCCTTGGTTTGGGAAGGCTTAGGAGGGCTTTTCCTCCACGTTTGCATTCAAAGCTGCTTTGACCAAGCCAAGTCACTGTGAACAGCTTGGATGGGGCTCAGGGTGTCTGCCCCATCGGGCTGGGCACTTGCCCAGCCTCAGCTGCTTCTCTTCCAGGGCAGCACTGTCATATTTATAATGGAAAAAACCCAGGCAAACACAGGAGCCTTTTAGCCTCCTGCCACACCTCTGCTACAATGTACATTATCCAAGTTCACTGCCACTTGCTTGACACTGTCCCCTCAGGGACACTTTTCTTGTCCTACCAAGCAGGGGATGGGGCTGGGACAGGGCGAGCTGGTGCCTGCCTGGAGGAAGGTGGGGAGCTGCTTCCTCCTCACAGTGCTGGAAGAGCAGCCTGGGCCCATTTGAGACCTGAGTGTTTCTCAGGGCTTGGTGACAAATCCTGGGGTGCTGGTGACTGCTCGTGGGGTGTCCCCATGACCCGAAAGGTTTTTCTGAGGCTCTGTAACCTGCATTTCTTCTGCTTCCAGCTCCGGGGTGCTGCTTGGGGTGTCCCTGGGGCTGGTTTGGGGGGGATTTTGTACCTGGCTGATTTTGTCCTGGTCAGGTTGGGGTTTCCCTGTCCCTGCCTGCCCAAAGGGGACAGTGCACAAGTGTCCCCTGATGCCCCATGGCTGCTCACAGGTGTGCACCTGTGTGTGCTTGGGGCGGGGGGTCGGTCCCAGGGGTGTACCCAGGTGCTGTCCCACTGTCCCATCCAGGGGGTGGTGGCTTTCTCCAGGCTGTGCCCTGACATGTCCCCTCTCCCCAGGCCTCAGCCAGCAGGAGCCATGCGATGCTCCCTGAAACGCTCCCTCACAGTTCTGCTTGCCGTCTCCTTCCTCCTCCTCCTCCTCCTCCTCCATGGGAGCAGCTGGCAGGAACAGGATCCCCTGGAGGTGAGTCCCCAACCAGAGACATCCCACTGGAGAGGCTAGTGGAGCATCCTCTATCCCTTCCTGCCCCACACGAACCCCAACCTCAGCTCTGCTCTCTTCCCTGCCCCGTGTCACCCCAACACCCCCCACCTTCTCCTCTGCCTCAGATTGCCCTGGGCAGATGGACCCCCCTGAATCCAGAAGTTGGGAGGGCAGGACAGGGGCTCCCCTTCGCTTCTGGGTCCCCCTCTTGTCATCCCGCCTTGCTTGGTGCTCTGTGGTGTGACCTGTTGCCTGTGGCTCCCATGCAGGTGCAGCTCAGGGGCCTGGCTCCCGACACGATCCTGCAGCTGCTGCAGCCAGAGGGAGCCCAGCACATCCTCAGGGACACAGCTGAGCTCTCTGCACTCCACAACATCTCCTATCAGCTCCTCGCTGGCTCCCCGGCTCCCCGAAAAAGTGAGTGGTCCTGGGCCCTGTGGGTATGCACCTCTGGGTGTGCACAGCTGCACATCCCAGCACAGGCCTGCCTCCTGAGTGCTGCTGGGGCAGGGAGAGGCTGGGTCCTGCCTTTTTGGGTGGGGACCTGCCCACAACCCCCACAGCCTTCACTGCTCGCTCTGGGGATGGAGGAACTGGGGAAGCTCCACGTGCTCCACACAGGGTCCAAGTTTCTGCACCTTGGGACTGGGTGACTGCAGGTGTTTTGGGCTTCCCAGACCTCTCTTTGGGGGTTGCTGAGATCCCATCTCCCTGGGGTTGAGGTTCCAGTGGAGATGGTGAGCTGGACCACTGGGACAACCCCACAGTGTGGGAGGAGTGGGCCAAGCTCTTGGACAGGTGCACAAGAAGCAATTCCCATGCAAACTCTGGGAAGGAGCCCAGGGCAACCTGTGAGGCTGTGCTGGAGCCAGCACAGGAATGGTGTTGTCCCAACCATCAGCAAGAGAAGCTGAATCAACGCAGCCACTGCTGAGCCATGGGGAGTCCACAAGGTGCCTGATCCCAGTGTGGGTGCATCTCCATGAGGTGTGGAGTGGGGAATGCTTCCAAGATGTGCAGCCATACCAATAAGCCATTTCTGCCCTATAGACTCTCTCTCTGCACTGTTACTTGCCTAGATTTGGCTTTTTTTAAGGTGTTTTTCAGGAATATTTCTTGAGTGGAGCCCCTGCCTCCTCAGCCTGGCTCTTGCTGCCATTTGGACCAATTTTGGGCCTTTCCTGAGATGCTTAAAGCTTCAGCTTCAGGAAGGAGACAACAGCCTTAGACATGGGGTTACAAGCAGCACTGACCCTGCAGGCTGGCCATGGGAAGAGATTTTTGGAGCCCTTTCGTTACATCTTGAAGGGAAGAGCATCACTATGGTGATCCCAGGTTAGCCCTCTGCCTGTTCATGCCTTTCCTTTGCCTTGCAGAATTCCTGGCGGTGGGAATGGCATCCGTGCAGAGGCCACGTGGTTTCTACCTCCTGGCCACACTCCAGTCCCTGTTCAGCCAGTCCACGGAGGAGGAGCTGCAGGAGATGGTGGTGGTGGTGCACCTGGCTGACACCGATCCTGGCTGGAATGTGCGCGTTGCCGCCACCATCGCCCAGAAGTTTGCTCGCCACATCCTCCTGGGCCGGCTCCTGCTCATCCACGCTCCCCCTGAGTTCTACCCCACCCTGGAAGGCCTGAAGAGGAACTTCAACGATGCAGAGGAGCGGGTGAGGTTCCGCTCCAAGCAGAATGTGGACTATGCCTTCCTGCTCGCCTTCGCCGCCAACCTCTCCTCCTACTACCTGATGATCGAGGACGACGTGTGGAGCGCCAGGTCCTTCCTGACGTCCATCCGCAGGGCACTGGCTTCCCAGGAGGGCTCAAACTGGGCTACCCTCGAATTCTCCAAGCTGGGCTACATTGGAAAGCTCTACCACTCCAGTGACCTTCCTCGCCTGGCTCACTTCCTCCTCCTCTTCTACCAGGAAATGCCCTGTGACTGGCTGCTGGTCCACTTCCGCCAGCTGCTCACCCAGAAGGATGTGATCCGCTTCAAGCCATCCCTCTTCCAGCACATGGGCCTCTACTCCTCCTTCCAGGGCACTTTCAACCGGCTGAAGGACGAGGATTTCCAGGCCGATGCCTTGGACCTCCCGGACAACCCACCAGCATCCCTGTACACCAGCATGTCCATCTTTGAGAACTACGAGCCCCTCAAGGCCTACAGCTCAGCACAGGGGTACTTTTGGGGCAAAGACCCAGCAGCTGGCAGTACTTTTACCATCGTGTTCCAGCAGCCAGCCCGAGTCAGCCGTGTCCGGGTACGCACGGGCTCCGTGGAGCGCCCGGGCGATTTCCTGCGCGCAGGGCTGCTGGAGCTGGGCCAGCGCCGCAACCGCAGCCGGGACTGCTCCTCCTATGTCCCTGTGGGCTCCTTCGAGAAGGGAACCCTGGAGCAGCAGGATCTGGAGAAGGTCCTGCCTGGGCCCGTGGAGTGCGTGAGGATCCGGGTGACCCAGGACCAGAGCGAGTGGCTCATCATTGAGAGCATCGACATCTGGACCACAGCAGGCACTTGAGCACAACACCTGTGCCAGGATGTCAAAGCAGCTGGATTTGGTTCCTTTATTTTTCACATTGCCTTTTTGGATAAGAAATTAAGTTATTGGCTCTCACTGCTCCATGTCTGGAGAGATGGGAAACACTGCTGTGGGCTGTGGATGGATCTAGGAGCAGGGCCCATCAGAATGTACCTGCTGGGGGATGCCCCAATGAGCCAAGGAGGGGGAAGGCACTTGGGAATTCAGAGCTGAGCAGTAGAAAACCTTTCCTCCCGGGGAGGATGATGTACAGGACAAAGCTGATCAGCTAATTAACAAACCAAATAATTCATCAGGCAGTGGTAATTTTTTTTTTTTGGAGCCTCTCCACACCTTACCTGCTATAATTTTTCTAACTTTTTCCAAAACTCTCAATTTCTAATTCCCTCCTCTCTGATCCCATTTCCTAGCTGCTCCTGCAGGGGTCAGGGGAAAGTCTGGGGGTGCTGCTCACCAAACCCTTCACCCTGCAGGCTCAGCAGGTTCGTGGCAGCAGCAAGCTCCCACTGGTGCCCGGCCATTTCCCGGTGCCGATCAGGGGCGACGGCCACCAGATGGACCCATCGGCCCGGCCCCGGGCAGCGCCTCCCACCAGCGCTCCTTGTTTCCGCCCTCCAAGGGAAAAAACGCAATTCCCAGAGACCTCACTTCGCGGTTTTGCTTGGTTCACACGGAGCGGGAAGGATAGGCAAGATGGGGCATCCAGAAAGGCGAGGAACGCACAGAATTGAGCACCAGGGAGCAAAGATAAGCCAAGGAAAATGTGACCTTGGTATAATGTGAAGCTCTGGGTCCTTTTTAGCCCAGTAAGGTGCTGAAGGGTAACACAAAGGATCCCAAAAGCTGCTGTTTGGGTTTTTCTGGCAGGGTCAGCTTGGAGGGCTGGATGCTCCACTAGCAGCTGTGGGCCCCAGCATGCAGGGCAGTGACTGGCAGTAACCTCTCCCAGTTAGGCTTTTAGCAACAATTTCTCAGCTTCCTGCAAAGGAAGAATTCCAGTCTGCTCAGCATTCCCATGGGATAGCCCAGAGAACTCACTAACCTGGGCCAAGCAGAACTCTGGTCTGCCCATGTTCCAAGCCTGGCTCTCCCAGAGCAGGACAGTCACGGTCAGCAGGGAGCAGTGCCACTCCTGCAGCATCATAACCACAGCTCTGGTTTGAGGTGGCATCAGCTCACCTGCTGGGCACTGGCAGGCAGATGGAGAGCCCCAGACTTAGCATGATGAGGTTTTTCCCCTGAAAAAAAGCCACTCAGGTAGTAGGTCTTTGCATTTAATATGGAGGTGCTACACCATAAACTCCAGATGTTCTCAGTGGGATCAATACACATGGCAGAATCACTGCAGCTTCCTCCACACAGACCAAGTCCTGTCAGAGCTCTTGGAGTGTTCTGAGTGGCACAAGTGTCCACTTCCCAGGGCCCTGAAAGGTGTTTCCAGTGCTCCAGGAAAGCCTTTGCCCTAGTTCTCTTGGACACAAATGCTGCTGCCCACTGTGGGAGAATATCAAGAAATTTCACCCCAGGATGTTTTTATCTACTGGTAAAGCACAAAAAGATAGAAATGTAAATCAGCTTTTTACCTGTTGGACTCTTACTGATGTAGGTACTAACAGGTTTTGTGATATTCACATGCCCAGAAGCAAGCTGCAGTCTCAATTATGCTGGTGTAAACCTGGACAGACTCCATTTACATCAGGATAAGTGGAAGTGTGCACTGGCAGAAACCCCCTCCCCTTTGTTCCTGTGCTGTTCCTGTGTGGCTCAGCACCACAATGCCCAAGGACCATCAATGCATACTGGAGGAGGAGGTGGCTGCTGCACCCTGGAGAAACATCACATAATTTATCCCACATCAAAACTCTCCCACCATTTTTATCCCAGCAGGACTCAGCCAGCTCTCAGCGCTCTGCTCCCAGCCCCTGTCCCTGCTGGGGTGGGCTGATGGAGTCCCGTGGCAGCCAGAGCCCAGGGGCCCCGTGGCTGCGCAGGGGAAGGGCAGGGGACACGACCAGAGAAGCCTTTGGGGCTGCTGCTCCCTCTGGAGACGGTGGATCAGGGAGGGCTGGAGGTTCCATTCCAACGCCGGGGTGTCCTGGTGCGGCAGGGCCTGGCAGGGCCTAGCTCAGCATCTTGTGCCGGTCGAACACCGTCTTCCTCTGCTCCTGCACCTGCCGCTTCCAGCGCTGCTGCGCCCCCTCCACCCGCTCCAGCACCGTGTTGGCCCTGGCGCCAGCCAGGGTGGGCACTGCGGCCAGGGAGTGAGTGTCCTGCAAGGAAAGGAACAGGGCTGGGGACCAGGCAGTGCCCAGCGAGCACAGAGCGAGGCAGCTGACCTGGGGAGAAACTGCACCTGAAAGAGCAGGGCAAGGTTTGAGTTGTTCTGCTGAAAAACCTCCTTTTCAGAGCTCCTCAACACCAGCCCCCAAGTCCTTGCTCTTGGGGATCACCCACAGCTCCAGACAGAAGTTCCCAGAAGAGGAACTGCACGAAGTGTAGAGCTCTGCTGGAAGCCCACTCTTGGAGTCTGCAAGGAGCCACAGTGCCCAGGTGAACCACATCCCCCCACTAAAACCAGGCTGACGATGGAGATCCATCATGGCACAGGAGCAAGGCCTATCCCAGAGGACTTAGTCCAGCAAACTGGAGGGAGATAAAACTCACTTAACACCAGGCATTTACCATGTGCACCTGGATCTGGATCTGAATTACTGCTGCAGAGCAGGGTGCAAACCCATGACTTTGGAATACAATTCATATCCTCCTGCAGGACCTTTTTCAGCAGAGGGAGGCAATGGATGGACTGTGGACACTGGAGCATCTGCTCCTCACATCCGAGTATGAAGGAATTGGGACAAATAGTTTGTACTCACAACAAAGTACAAACAGGACAATCCAACCCAGTGCTGCAACTGCATGAATTTTATGCAGCAAGAAATTTTTCTTCCCTCAAACTGGTGTGTGACAGTGAGAAAGGGGGAGAGAGTGGCTCTTTCTTTGCTACTGGGATTTTGCCAAATCATTTTGCCCAGGGTTTGTACACCAGTTTCCCAAAAGATGGGGTTTGAATGACATTGTGCTCTGGGAGAACCGCAGCAGAGGAGCACAAGGAACAACAGTCTGGATACAACCCATGGCCCAGCCCCAGAGCAGGATCAAACAGCACCTTGTAGGCCAGCGTTTTAAGTGTCTAGAAGATGTTTTAGCCAACACTTAAGTTCGTCCTTCCCTGGAAGCTCAGCACCACAAAACTCCATCTGGGACACTGCACCAACAGGATCTGTTTGACTTTTTTTCCCCTCTAGATGGACAAACTAAATTCAGGCCAGCTGCTACAAAGTCCCCTCTGCCTCTGAGGCTAGGGCTTGCCTTGGGATTGTTACACAGAACTCTGAATATTCCTTGTGCTTCTGCATGATGTGCAGAAATCTAAATGTTCACCTGTGTAAGTGCCCCCAAAGCAGCAGCGCTGGTCCCTCAGTGGATCAGAGGAGACAAGCAGGAGGTCGCTGTTTCCCTGTCCCCCATTCTCCTGTCCCCCTGTCTGCACCCCCTGCCCCCTCACCTCGCTGTCCTCCTCATTGTGCAGGGGCTGGGTGTAGGGGTCTGGCTTGCGGATCAGGGGGTCCACGAGCACCAGGAACGCCATGTAGAGCAGCAGGGCCCCCACCACCGACAGGTAGATGATGATGATCACCTGCAGTTGAGGACAGCGCAGGGGGAAAGGATAAGCAGTGGAGATAAGAAGCACCACAGAGGTCAGGAAGGTCCTTTGCAGCTGCCTCTGATGTGTGACCTCTTGTTCTCATTTTGCTCACAAGAGTCTCTTGCTCTTGCCAGGAGGCCAAGGTTGTGCCATCACTGCACAAACTGTGCTGACGCTCTCACTGTGCCAACTGAGGGCACATTCTGCACATAGGGGACAACAAGATAGGGCCCTGGTCAGAGACGCTTGGCACTCTTGTCACATATCCCCAGCAAGAAGACTGGGCTCCCACACAGCTCCTCACTACCAGGAATGCCCCTGTCTCAGATGGAATCACAGAAATCACAGAAGTCACAGAATCCCTGAATCACTGAGTGAGGTTGGAGAAGATGTCTGAGATCATGGAGTCCAACCTGTGACCAATCCCCACCTTGTCACCCCACCCAGAGCACTCAGTGCCACATCCAGTGGTTCCTTGAACACCTCCAAGGACAGTGACTTCCTGAGTAGCCCCTTCCAGGATCCAACATCCTTTTTGTGAAGAAATTCTTCCTAATGTCCAACCTAAATCTCCCCTGATGCAAATTAAGAATATGTCTTCTTGTCATGTCACTAGCTGCCTGGGAGAAGAGACCAAGCCCCACCTGGCTACAGCCTTCTTTCAGAGAGCTGTGGAGTGAGCCCCTGGCACTGCCACCATGTACTCGCTGTGACAGTTTCCTTTCTGAAAGAAAACTTTCTGGGCTCTTCTCCAGGAACCTTCCAGTGTGGAAGTGCTGGTGCTGCTGTGGCAGGGCAAGGGGCAGGGCACAGGCAGGGAGTGCAGTCGCCCTGGGCTTGTGTGGCACAGGAGGGGGCAGGACGGGCAGGGCCTGAGCTCAGGTACCTTGATGGTGGTGGTGCTGCGCTCCTCGTACTTGCACTCACAGAGCAGGCAATAGGCCTCCACGTCATTCCCAGGCACTGGCATGGGCTCCACCACGTGCAGACAGTTGCTGCAGCACAAACACACAAACCACAATCAGCAGCAGCACAAGGTGAAACCAGTGCTCTGGGCAAGGACACTGGGGTGACTTTGTCTGTGTCCCAGCTTTCCAGTCAGACTGATAACACTGATGTGGTGTTAAGAGCTCCCCTCACAGCCTAGCTGCCCAAAGTCCCTGGGATAGGTTGTCCCAGCACCTTTGGCAGGGATCTGGTCCAGGTGGAAAGGATTGGAGGGCACACCCTACATCTGCCAAGAGCGGTGGGTTAACGTATCATCCCAGATTCCTCAATTTCTGTTTAAAAAATGCCCCGGCCTGGGTTGAACATCACCCACCAAAACAGCTCCCTCTGCAAACATACAGGCAGGGAATCCCTTCCTCAGCATCAGCTGGGAACTCCAGAGCCTGGCTGGCACAGACCAACCCTGAGGCTGCTCGCTCACTCACTCAGTCACTCACCAGTCCTTCTGGGACACATTCTTGTTGTAGATGTGCCCGCTGACGTTGCGGTACGGGGGGCAGATGCACTTGCAGCGAATGTCCTCAGAGCTCTGCAGGACACAGGAGCCATGTGAAGGAGGGGACACAGCTCTGTCCCCTCACACCCCACCTCTGCTGTGCCCCACACATGGCTCAGTGTCACCCACCTTGTTGGCCTGTGCTGGAGGACACAGGACACAGCCCAGCAGCACCAGCAGCAGCACGGGGCTCACAGAGTTCCGGGAGCTTGGGGTGAACATCCTGGGAGCCTGAGGGAACAAAATTCACATCCAGGATAGAGCATCTCAGCTGAATGCAGCCACAACGAGGTAGTCAAGAGACTTTTTTTGGCCCACTTGCCTCTGTTTTGCCCAGGAAGAAGAAATTTGTTCCTGAATTGCAGCTGATGCCAGCCAGAAACTCTTGGAAACAACACAGATCTCAACAATGCTCCTGTCAGAAGAGCTTCCACCCTGTACAACCCCACATCTAAACTACACCAGCTCTGCAAAACTATTGCTGATTTCCTTATAACTGGACTTGCAGAAAACCTCCTATTCATCTCTTACTACCCCGGAGCCCAGCTACAGATATTTTGGTGCTGACAGTTTTGCTCACTAAAAGATGCAGAACTAGGAGCAAGAGTGACCTAAAGCAGTACACTGGGGCCCCCCTGCTGCACTGTCATGAGCACTGCCATGAGTGGTAAATCATTCATCTTCTAACACTCAAAGTCTTGCTGCTGAAGGGAATTATGTATTTTCCTGTCATGAGCTATGGGAAAGGGGTGGAATATTCCTAAGTATTCCAAATCAATTCCTAAACCTCCTTTATCTCAAGATACCTGTTCAGTAAGTCCTGATTTTAAAATTACTTCAAGCTGGTAGCTTGGTGAATTCATTAATGCCTTCTGCTACATATCACAGAATGGTTTGGGCTGGAAGGGACCCTAAAGATTATCTCCTTCCAACCCCCATGTGTGTGGATAAAGTTGTCCCAGAGATGTGTGCTTCCAGAAATCCATAAGAAGATGAATTTATTCCCTGTGTCACAAAAGGCAAGTTTGCCTTGGTCAGGCTGCATTCACCCTCAGAGGGAAAAGGTGGAGCAGGTGTTGGGGGACCTTGAGACAGCAAGGAAGAGCTGTTTCAGCAGAGGAAGGGGAAGGGAATTTACACCTTCATTAATCAGCTCCCAGGTAATCCCACAGCTTACTCCAGGTACTTGTACTCCATCACCTGACCTGATTCCATTGGGATTTAAATCGCTGTGATATTCTGTTCCCTTTGCTTTATCTTATGTCAACACCTTAAATTCACATAATGGATTACAAACAAGAAGTTCCTTTCTTCTTTATCTAAACAAAACACCAGCAACTTCTAACAAGCTGCCAGACCTCCAAAATGCATTCCAGTCCTATCACCTCATCCCATGATTTATTAAGGTTTTGCACTACAGCTTCAAAAATCTCCTCAAACAATGATCCTTTCCAGGGAGACTCCCCTGTACATCAGGGGTTCAGATCTTCATCACAGATCTGGGGAACAGGACTGATCTGAGCTGCCCAGTGCACGTTCCCCATTTTAAGTGGGTCTGGACTTTTGTCTGAATTTTTAACACAACAATGGGGCATGTACCATTGCTGGGCATGCAATGCCCAACTCTCAGCTGAGTTTAGAATATCTGAACAACTCACATTTAAAAACAGGAGGGGAAAACATGTGATCTATTATACCATAAACAAAAACTTAAAACCTAGGCAGAGTTCACACACCCTGAACTGCAGAACACCCTCAACCACACAAAGGATAATCAAGGCATATTTATCTCCAATATATTTGACAGCAAAAGGATACATGCACACATGCCTTACAGCTGTTTTTTTCAGACCATCAGCCCGGGCCACAGCAGCTATGCAGCCAAAACCAGCTGCATCTGGACCAAAATCTGCCAGAGCATTAAGCACAGCAGAGGGGGGGCATGGTTGAGGTGAAGTTCTCGGGGGCTGTGAGTGTGGCAGCTCCCAGGATGAGCCCCCACAAAAGGCTGTCCAGAGCATGGCTGCACACAACCACCCCTCTTCTACCTGGGATTGCCCAGTAATCACCTCATCTTTAACCTCCCCATCCCTGCAAGTGTCCAAGGCCAGGCTGCACGGGGCTTGGAGCAGCCTGGTCTCGTGGAATTAGTCCTTGTCCATAGGACTATCCCCAGCAGGGGGTGGGACTGGATGAGCTTTATGGTCCCTTCCCACCCAAACCATTCTGGGATGATTCTGTGAACATCACATGGAGCACTTCTAAGACTCCAGCCCATTTCCCTCCCCGGACCTGTGCTCAAACCATCCCCGACCCCGACCCGGACCCAGGGCAGGGCCGGACCCCTCAATCCCCGCCGAGGGCTCGGATGCCCCCTCAGCCCTCCAGGGGCTTCCACCGCCCGTTCCCACCCGGGATGCCTCCGGCAATGCGGGCCACGGCCTCTCCGCGAGCCCCGGGTCCTGCACAGCCCCGCACGGTCCCGCCCCGGGAGCAGGGCCAGAGCCCGACGCCCTCAGCCCCCGGCCATACCCACCCCACACCTGCCCGTTACCTGGCCCTCGCTGCAGCCCGAGCGCGGCCCCTCCCTGCAGGCCCCGGCCAGGCCCTCCCCGCCTGCCCGCTTGGCCATGGAGCGTGACGCACAGTGACGGACAGCTCCGCCGGCCAATCGGACGGCAGCAGCCCGGCCGCTGCTGAGGGCGGCCCGCGGCCCGCGGAGTTGAGCGGTCGCGGTGGCGGCGCCGGCCGTGGCCGTGGCCGTTGCCGGAGGGGCCTTCGGCGGACGTGACCCGGGCGGCTCCCGCCTGGCTTCCCGGGGCAGCACCCGCAGGGCTGCGCCGCCGCGTCCTGGGGTTGAGACGCGGGATAGCCCCGCTCCTTCTCAGCCCCTTCTCACTTCACATCCCCGTTCTCCCCTTATAGCCCCTTCTCCCCTCAGACCCCCAGGTCTCCCCTCACGGTCCTACTCCCCCCTAATGGCCCCTCTCTTCCCTCACAGACCCCGTTCCCCCCTCACACCCCGCTCTCCCCTCACACCGGCGGTGGTCCTGTGTCTATCAGAGGGAAAAGCCAGGGCGGCAGTGGTGCCCATAGAGAAACTCCTCTGGACGTCCAGCCTGAACCTTTCCTGGCACAACTTCATGCTGTTTCCTCCTGTCCTGTCCCCATTCCCTGGGAGCAGAGGCCAACCCCACCCTGGCTGCCCCCTCCTGTCAGGAGTTGTGCAGAGCCAGAAGGTCAGGATGTATTTTTTTTCAGGTAAAAAAAAAATCCCTTGATGGAAAAAGAAGAGACCCAAACCCCTGATTTAACTTCTAGAAATAGAATCACAAAATCAAATAGGTTGGGAAAGACCTCTGAGATCATCGTGTGCCAACCCGTGCCTGACCCCCATCTTGTCATCCAGTCCAGAGCACTCAGTGCTGTGTCCAGGCATTCCTTGGACACCTCCAGGAATGGGGACTCCACCATCTCGAGTCCCTGGGCTGTCCCTTCCAATGCCTGACCACCCTGCCCATGGAGAAACTCCTCTGGACGTCCAGCCTGAACCTTTCCTGGCACAACTTCATGCTGTTTCCTCCTGTCCTGTCCCCATTCCCTGGGAGCAGAGGCCAACCCCACCCTGGCTGCCCCCTCCTGTCAGGAGTTGTGCAGAGCCAGAAGGTCCCCCCGAGCCTCCTTTTCTCCAGGCTGAGCCCCTTTCCAGGTCCCTCAGCCCCTGCTGGTGCTCCAGTCCCTTCCAAAGCTCCATTCCCAGCTCCTTTCCTGGCTCTGAACTCTCTCCAGCCCCTCGACGTCCATCCTGAACCCATCTGCCATGGACCCCTCATGGGAGGGTGTTTCCAGTCCTGACAGAGTTTGCTCCTTTGATGAAAATAAAAATGAAAATAATAAGGTGAGATACATTCAGCCAGAAACAGGTGTAGATCAGAGGGTAAATGTCTGTTTGGCAGATAGTTCTGTCTCTCCAATAGTTTTAACTTTCTAGAAATGAGTAAATAATTGAGACTGCTTGTTTTAAGGCTTGTAGAATGTATAAGTTGTGAAGACTGCTAGGTTTTAAAATGTCCCACAAAATGTTCCATGCCCCGGCCATAGGAATTACTGATGTCAAAGTGCTTCCACAGAGTCATAAAGTCATGGGGTGGTTTCAGTTGGGAGGGACCTCAAAACTCATCCTATCCCACCCCATGCCATGGGCAGGGACACCTTCCACTATCCCAGGTTGCTCCAAGCCCCATACAGCCTGGCCTTGAACACCTCCAGGGATGGGGCAGCCACAGCTTCTCTGGACAAGCTGTGCCAGGGCCTCCCCACCCTCACAGGGAAGAATTTTTTTTCTATTACTTCATCTAAACCTACTCTCTTTCAGTTTGAAGCCATTCACCCTTGTCCTGTCATTGCATGTTCTTGTACATAGCCTCATAAATAATATTCTAAAGAGTTTTCTCACCCCATTGCTGTAATGTTTAAAATCCTGGCCCTGCCCTGGCTGCATTCTACCTCCACTCACTGGAGTCTGCATAGGATAGTGGTCTAAGTCAGCTGGACTGATCCAAGGAAACATCCCATGAAAATAATCCTGGGTATTAGATGCACAAAGGACTTCTAATTCCTTCCTCCTACTCCAGTGTTGCTGAGCGGAAGAAGCTCTTTGGTGCTAAATCAGAGCTCTCCCTTCAGAGCAGAATGCTGGGCCTCCTCATGGGACATTAAGTGCTGTGACACAGCTGAGTTTTTTCAGGTTTAAAAGCCCATGGCCACAGGGATTTTCTGTGACTGACTTTCCTCTGGCTGGTGAGGAGGTGTTTTTATCTCTGACATGCCTGTTGTCACAGCAATCTGTTCTTCTGTGTCTTTTGCAGCCCAAAGGTCCATACCACTGCTTCTTGTGGAGCTACAGATGACACTTGGAGGAAGCAGCCTGGACTGGTGACAAGACACTGGAAATATCCTTGGAGGAAGTAAAGGAATAGCCCAGGCAGCTGAGAGATCACATCCAGGGATCAGTTTTTTTGGGGTGAGCGCCTCAAAAACAGACTGACCAATACAGGATGAATTTGAAAGTTGCATTTCAGTTCAAGTGCCTTTTCCAAGAGACTGGTTTCAGAATTCTTGGATGGGAGAGTGAGTTGTATGTACACTTCCTTGCAGTGATGAGTGGGAGATCTCACACACATTTCCAGGAGACTGTTTCCTGTTTCCTTGCTGACTTTCCCCCTGGCAAAGCTGCCTTTTTGTCGGTCCCAGATAACTGGGATGGAGCAGGCTCGATTATCTCCTGGATGTCATCCCTGTTGCTGTGGTTAAAGCCCAGCAGCAGTGGGAAAAGTGAGTTTGCCTGAAGGGAGCAGGATTTGCTGCTTTATTTCTTCCTACCTGTTGCTCAGTTTTGTCTTCATTCCTAAGTGCACCACTGTACACACTCAACAGATGTGGTCTTGTTTCCTGAATTTCTGTGTGTGCTGAATGCAGGTCCCTTCAAAAATCTCTCCAGCAATGCGGTCTGAACCCTATAAGAGATCTTGCCCTGAATTCCCAGTAATCTGGGTTGATTTTAGCCACTGACACCACCCTGTAGGGATCTGTGACTCGCACAGGGTCTGGGAAGAGGCTTTGGAGACCTTGGGACTCCCAGTGACACTGTGGGGCTGTTCATTCCTGATTTCTGCCTCCCACTTTGCTGGCAGCACTAAGGTGAGAGGTGCCTCAGAGGAGCCTTCCATGGGCAGTGCCCTAGGAATAGATGCCAAACACAATTCATGTGGCACAGAAGGAGAGGGAATGGGAGATGGGAGACAAACACAAATGTGTAAAAGAGGGGAAGTGCATCAGCTGTTAATATCCTGCCCTGTACTTTCCCCTTACCCACGTAATTAGGCCTTGCTGGCACTCGTGGTGTCAATCTGAAGGACAGGTGGCATTTTTGTTAACAACAGCAGTGGCTGAGGACACACAGGAACAGCTTGTCCTTGTTCTCTCTGGACAAGGGTGTTGGTGACAACACTGCAAACCTCCTTCCGGCCCAGCGCTGAGGGTCACAGCAGCTGGCACATATTTAAAGGGCAGTTTATTTTAAATTGTAAGCAGATACATTGACTTGTAAATATTCTAGAAATACATCCTGCCATTATAAAAATCATCCTATAATTCTGGGGGAAGAAATTTCATTCTTCACCTGCAACAATATTATTTGGTCTTTCTATTGCCTGTGAAATGAAATGCTTTGGGAATTGTAAGCTGACAAGAGAAGACTTCAGGGTGCCTGAGCATTGGGTCAACCTGTGGGGCTCTCTTCCTTGTGCAGGATGGGTGGTTAGACCAAACAATGGCAATTCTTCTTCTCTTTATGCTGTTAGCTCCCTTCCAGCTCTAAGGAAGTGGTTTGTGGTGCTGTGCCTCAGTTTCCTAAGTCAAATGGTACCACAGCACAGGGAGGGGCTCTGTAAGGGTGGCTGAAGAGCTCAAGAGGGTCACAAGAGCTGCTTGTGACAGTCAGTTCTTGAGGGCTTCTCTCACCCTGAAAGACCTGATGGTCTTAAAAAGTGTCATGGAGATTTGTGAGCACAAATTAATGAACAAATGGTGTCAGTCCTAGGCAGGAGCAGCTGCTGTGTGCGTGGGAGCTGACAGAAGATGTGGCTGCCCAGCAGGCTGGGCTCTGATAACCTGGGAGATCCAGTGTCAGTGTGTGCCCTTGGGCCATGCACACACAGGCTGGGGTTGTGCAGGACCCTGTGTCCAGCATGACCTCCCATGGCATGGATGGGCAGAGAACAAGCATTAATGTCCAGCCATGAAGGGTAACTCTGGACCATGGAATTTGGAGCTGCTTCTCATGGGTCACAGCTGTGCGGCCATGAAGGTGTGGTGGGGAGGACACTCACAGTTGGTGATGGAATGGCTCTGGGCTGGTGAGGGGGAACCAACCCACACATGGCTGACCCCCAAAGAGGGGACTCCTGCTTCTCCACCTGTGCTGTGTTTAATAATTTCTGCCCCTAGACAGGAGACCACTGCCAGTCACAAACCTTGTGCCAGGGAAGGCTCAGATTGGACATTAGGAAGAATTTCTTCACAGAAGGGGTGATTAGATATTGGAAGGGGGTGCCCAGGGAGGTGGTGGAGTCACTATCCCTGGAGGTGTTTCAGGAAAGCCTGGAGTGACACACAGTGCCATGGTCTTGTTGACAAGGTGGGCCTTGGTCACAGGTTAGACTCAATGATCTCAGGGGTCTTTTCCAGCCTCAGTGATTGTGTGGTTCTGTGATTCTGTGAAACAGGATGGCTGAGGAATAGGACCTCCTCTGGGTTCAGCCAAGCCTTCTGCAGTGGTAAGACTAAAGGAGAGAGTGGCTGCACCCCAGAGCAGTGCTCTGGCCCACACTGCTTCCCCCTGCCTGATTTTCTCTGTGGCCTGAGGTATTTTTCAAGAGCCGATGCTCTTCCCTGAGCCTGGAATCCTGTGTGGTGGTGCAGTCCTGCTGTGAACCAAACAAAAACTTCAGCCTCCTGGGAGGGAGCTGCCATTGGAAAGGGTAGGGAACTGTGTTCTGATGGAACTGAGGCAGGTGGAGACTTGGCAAAGCCAGACCC